TGCCCTCCAGTCCAGGAGCTGTGTGCCAAAGCCACACTGGACGAGAGCCCGTGGCTGCTGGAGACGTATGTCACATGACTTACTAGAACTGTCCCCGATGTTGACTAGCACCCTTTATCAAGCTGGAGGACCATGTCACATTTGCAGGTCTACTTGCTGTAAGTCTGGTCTGATTTGGGAACCATGGTGGCAAAAATTTCTCCCCTGTTACCTACAGTGATATAGCAGAGATGCTTCCTGCAGGACTCGGTGGAATTATGGGTGTGTGGGGACAGTTGTAGTCACAGGACACTGATTGCTTCCTGGAGACTGCAGATGAAGGAGATACAAGAAGAGGGAAAAGGGAGGAGAAGTGTATATTTAAAAATGCAAAATATGTATTTTTTCAAAATCAGTAAGCAAGTGTGAGGTCACCTGCTATACTTTGGGGCTGCCTCTCCTGACAAGGCCTCTGCTTCCCTGTGTACCGTGGAGGAAAAGTGGGTAAAGGATTAGAAACTCTTAAATAAGTTTCCTTGGCTATTATCCTCAGTAAATTTGCCACATCTGTCATTTCTATACAGTTTATCCTTAAAATAGCCTGTGTTTCACATTGTTTAATCTCATTTTGTTTTACGCAGAATATTTTTTAACCATTGTCACCTTTTTTTCAGGAAAAGTATGTTTCTTAATTTTGCGATGGTAATAGCGAACATAAGTTCAGTTAAATACTATTAGAGTTACATAAAATGAATATAGCATGATTATCGTGAATGTTTTGTTACTGAGGCAGGTGTATGGTTTTAATTTTTAGTTGCACAGCACCACCTAGTGGATCTGTGTTCATCAGCTGTCCAGATCCAGTATAACAGGCTTTTAATATTTAGCCATCCTTGCTAGTCATCACTTCTCTAAAACACAGGCTATGTAGTAAGACTTGTATATTCAGACTTTTCTTATATAGTTTCCCAAACAAAAATACAGAGGTTAAACACTTTATAGAAACTCACCCTGGCTTATTCAGTCCAGTGGTTAGAGTGTTGGCCCATGGACAGAAGGGTCCCAGATTCGATTCCCGGTCAAGGACACGTACCTGGGTTTCAGGTTCGCTCCCTGCCCCTGTTTGGGGTCCATGTGGGAGGCAGCTGGTCAGTGCAGCTCTCTCACATCGATCTTTCTTTCTCTTTCTCCCTTCTTCCCTTCCATTCTCTCTGAAAAAGAGTGGAAAAAAGTATCCTCAGGTGAGGATTAACCAAAAAAATACAAAAAACCCCACAACTCCCCATTTGGGATTGTTGTAGGTTGTGCTTTTTTCGCTTTGAGCATATGTGTTTGTTCTGGAAATCTGTCTGTGAGTAGCTGAGCCTTGCCTTCTAAGCTGAAGAGAACTTTTACTAATGACAATTTCCCGTGTCAGCTTTACTACCTGAGCTTCTAATTGCATCTTTGCCTGCTGGTCTGTTTAATGTTCTGGACAACAGGCCCAGCACCGACTGCACAAATGTAAAGTTACCTGGGAGAATGGCAGGAAGACTTGAAAACCAAAAATGTATTAAAATAAGAAAACTTTAAAAATTGCACTGGTAGTCCAAAGAGCTCCTGATTGATAAATTTTGTTGTCTGCTCTTTCACGTGGAAAAATAGCTACAAGTGTTCTGTTTTGTTTTGTTTCAAATCACTTATTTCATTTTCACACTGAGCCTATTTCTCAGTTAATTATATTCTTGCTTGTGGGCCCAAATAGTCCATGATGTTATCATACTAATAATGCACAAAAAGAGACATTTTATTCATCTTAATTAAAATTAGTTCTGACATAGATCTGGCACAGCCATGGTAATCTAAAAACAAGCACAAGATCAGATATGTGGCCTTCCTCCCTTTGCTCAGCTCCTGTCTGTGAGCCATGCAGCACACATCTTGCAGGACAGGACCACAACTGCGACAGGAGGGTTTGGTCCAGTGTGTCACTCTTTCCGCTGAAGAGAAGAACTGAAAAGAAGGACCAGGCAGGAACGCACTAGAGGCCAAAAGATTTAAGCACATTTATAAACAAAATTATAAAATCTGAAAATATTTCTGAAGTAAATATGATATAATGTCCTTGGTAAGGGAAAAAAAAACAATTTCTGGGGGGAATTTTTCCGTAAATGTGATTTTTTACAAAAAGCAGTATACACTAAAATTGAACTCGAGAGGTGAGATTTGCTGTGTGAGCTTGTGCACTCTACTGTGGAACAGATAAGTAGACATCTGCAGAGGGCGCAGAAAGCCTCTGAACAAGGCATTGCCACTTTGCCCTGGTTGAGGGGCCCACAAGAAAATGTAACCACTTAAAAAGCTTTTAACATTCTTTGCTGTCACCTCAGTTGTCTGAAGACCTAACTTGACCTGTCCATCACCCCATTTCCTAGAGTGAAGATACAAAAAATGTGAGTGTGCTTAATAGCCTGGTGCAGTCATTACTGGACTCCAGTGTGTTGCTGGACTTTCATTTTTAGCTCTGCAGGCCAGACTCTGCCAGGACTGGAATGTAGTTTTAGGCTGGGCCTGCCTTTGAGTAAATCACAGCAGTAAAAATAAGGTTGATTTTGCTTGCATTGCCTGTGTGCAGGCGTGTGTAGGAGGCAGCTAATCCATGTGTCTCTCTCACACTGATGTTTCTCTCTCTCTCTCTCTCTCTCTCTGCTTTATCTAGCAAATAGTTGCATCGTGCGTTGTTCCTAAGGTCTCTCGGCATTGGTGATAGCCTTTGACATCTTTGAAAATAAAATGATGAGAAAAGTAGACTTAACTGGAGTGCATGTATATTGCAGGCGTTATTCCTAGTTTAACTCTTGAAAGCATCTCCTGGTCCTGGAGGTGATGGCTGCAGGACAAACAGCAACCAGAGATGTGGCTGATAGACCTTGACTTTGACTTCCTACTCTAACTCTCCATCTGCTGCCCTAAGACTCTCCGCTTGCACCCACAGCTGTTTTCTGCTTTCCCTTTGTCCCCCAGATGACTTCTCATTACCTGCTAAAGAGGACAAACATTTGACACTTCATGCCTTTCAAACAAAGTTTATATAGAGAAGTGTTATATATGTCAACATTTGAATATATATGTGTATTTAAATCAGATTCCTAGAGTGTTTTAAAAATCTACTGCACTTCTTAGCTTTTTACCATCAGATTGCATCAAAAATCTGAAAGATAGTCCTGGCTGGATGCTCAGTGGTTAGAGCGTCGGCCTGCGGGTTGAAGGGTCCCGGGCTCAGATCTGACCAAGGGCACGTACCTCGGTTGCAGGCTCGATCCCCGGCCCCAGTTGGGGCGTGTGCAGGAGGCAGCTAATCCATGTGTTTCTCTCACACTGATGTTTCTCTCTCTCTCTCTCTCTCTCTCTCTCTCTCCCCCTCTCCCCCTCCCCCACTGTCTCTGAAGAACAATGGAAAAAATATCCTCGGGTGAGGATTACAAATAAGTAAATAAAATCTGAAAGGTAGATTCCCTGGCCTCTAGATCATGTTTACATTAACATTTTACAGTAACAAGTTAGCTAATTTAAGTATTTATATAAATAAATGCCTTTTGAAACTCAAGCCTGTCTCCTATTAAATATACTCTCTTCTGAGCTGAGTGGTTTTGAGAGGGAAGGCTATTCTGCATAAATGGATAACAGTTACCATTTATCCAACAGTTTTGTGCCAGGCACAGTGCTCTGTACTGTACATGAATTTTCCTGTAGTCCTCATCACAGCCCTACCAGTGGGCACCAGAGCTGTGCCCATGCAGGGGTCAGAAGAGATAAACGAGAAAGTCCAATCCATTTGTGGATTCCTCCGGGCAGGATATGGGGTGGGGCAGTGCAAGGTAGTGGAGAATGAATCTGGATTTCTAAAGAATCATTTCCTTGATTCTTTCATGTACTATCCTAAACCTGTTTTTGTTTTCCTGCTCTGAGACCTCACAGCTCATTTTTGAACCCTCAGCAGTAGATTAATTTTCACATTGAACATCTGGGCAGGGACAAACAGCACCTCTTGGTTTTCTAAGATGAGCAGAAAATGGCCTTCTGACCCCCCTACCCCCACCCCATCACCACCTTCCTCCTGTTCCTGAGGTCTCCTCTAAAAAGCATTCTGCTTTGTTTACATCTTTTTCTTTAAAGAAAAATGTAGTTGATATGCCAGACCCAGTAATTCTCAAGCTTTTCCAGAAATGTTATCTTTAGGGAGATTTATAAAAACAAGAGGAGCCTTTGTGGTTGTATTCTGAAGGCCGGAAGAGCTTAGAAACAAGGCAGATTTCGAATGCTGAGCTTTTCCACTTTTAAGCTGTAAATAAAAGATGTGCTGTGGCTTCACTCATGTTTATGAGAAAGAAACAGTTGGAACGTATATTTTTTCCGTCCTCGCAAAAGCATGACTGACGTGAGTCGAGAGAGAGGACTTTTTGCTGTGGGCTGACTAACAGCAGGCAGCCAGCCTCCTTGCTAGACCAGTGAATGTTACGCAGAGTTCTTCACAGTGGCATTTGTCAGAACCATTGTATGTACTTGGATGGAGCTGTCTAAATGGCGCACCCACATGCAAATGGAGCTTATAAAATCAGACCTGTTCACTCCTGTATTTGTAGTCAGTGAACAGACTTAGCAAAATATGTGATACAAGGTTTTGAGGACATTTGTAATAAGTTTTAGTGGTATTAGTACCATCCTTTCATTTTCTGTCTTCACATGGGTAGTTATACATACACATGTACATAAATACACACTTACACATGTATGCTTATAAAACAGACATCAATTTAAATTCATTTTTGTCGATGTTTCTCTCTCTCCCTGTCCCTTCCTCTCTCTAAAATCAATAAAAACATGTAGAGAGAGAGGCCTCTACTCTCCTGGCGAACACGAAGGGTAAGAAGTCCTTAATCATCACCTTTCTAAGACTTCAAATTACAGTCATTCCATGGGATTTCTGAGATACCTGGAAACGCTGTACCCACCTGTGTGTTCATTTGACTTACTTCCTGTAGACTCCCCTTTACCTGGTGAACCACGGAGAGACTGGCCCAGTGAGGTGCAACCGCTGCAAAGCCTACATGTGCCCCTTCATGCAATTCATTGAGGGTGGCAGGCGCTTCCAGTGTGGGTTCTGCAGCTGCGTGAATGAAGGTAAGTGCCTCATAGGCGCCCGGACAGCTCTCTGATGAGGGAAGCGCGCAGTCTATGTGCCTCCGCCCTCCGGAAATAGGTGACAGCTCCTAGTTATGTCTCTCCATTGAGAATTGCTCAGAGGAGTGACAGGAGAGGAAAACCTCTCAGGTTTAGCATCTCCAACATGAGAGGCAAAATTTCATTTTCCTCCAGCTGAGCCTCTGTGGAAGGGAATGAGAAATAATGTTATTTCCCTACTTCTGAGTTTTACAAGAGACACAGGAACTTCCATGTGGGGCTCATGCATGTCTGTGAGGCTCAGAGGGGCTTGAAGTCATAAAGGGAGCAGGTCCTGGTTGGTTTCTCTCCAGGGAGATTACATTTTATCTGTGTTTACTGATGATAAACCTGACAGATAGTTCCTCTTTGTGCATTCCTCTGAATTACTCTCAAATGTGAGCTCTTCAGTATTTAGGAAAAGCTGTTATAAGTGAGGGTTTTAACATGTATGTAGATTTTCCCCTCCAACATTAAACATTACTGTGTGGGGCTTTCCTAGATTCCATGTACTCAAATTCATTCCCGTATGACTCACCGATGTTGAAAAAACTGCAAACTTGTTAAACGTGCTTACATTTATCATATTTATGACATCATAAATTTTTAATTCTTTGGTGTCAAATAAAGCCATACTCAGGCCTAGACATTCCCATATTCATTGACATTTAGAGTTTTCTAGAAGCTTGTGGTGATTGTGAGAACTCACGTTCTCTGTTTCCCTCTGTTCCTCATCTTTGTGGACATCCCTCCTGCACGTCATTAGATCTGACACTGCACACCCTCTGCCCGGAGCCATGTCTCCATGCTGCTGCTGCTCCTTCCCTGAGGGGAGGAGAGCGGAGAGTGCAGGCATCGATTTTCGCCTGTGTTGGTGCCTCATGGCTCAGCCCCATGAGCATTTCTAGGGGAGAGCAGTGCTTGTCTCCCTGTCCCGGCCCCCACCACAGCCCATGACTTTGCCCAGCATAGAGAGCCCTGCGTCGTGAGGCTTTCTCACAGAGACCTTGGGTCAGTCTGTGGAAACGCCCTGCTGTGGGCTGGATTGGTGGGTCCCAGCTTCACCTTCAGGCCTGTGTCAATCCCCTTGGGCTGCCTCTCCTTGTTCTAGCTGTAACGTCCACTCAGTACAGACAGGATGTACCATGAGACCCTCCCTGTGGCCCTGTACCCCTCCTGCTCTTTCCAGGGAAGACCTTGCTCCTTCCCTCATCCTGGACGGAATCTGGCAGTCACCCTGTCCTATGAACCAGGTTTTAGGAACCAGTGCCATGTCACTTCCCTGTGCTATAGTTTGGGGGGAAGTCATGAGGCAGAGGAATGTTGTGGTGAATGCCCCCACCAAGCTCAGTAGCTGCTCACTCCTCACCCAGGCCCCCAGCTTTCTGAGAAGGTTGCTCAAAACCTTATCCAGGATCAGCAATTTGTGTGAACTCCCTGGACTTGCACCAGAAATGTCCACTTAAAGCCTTCAAAGGCCAGCCCCTTCCTGGTGAAGAAACCACGGAGTTCTTGTGTCTCCACCACCAATTGCCCCCGTGAGGACCACACCTAGGAGGCTGCCATGTTCATTGTCCAATAGGGTTATTCTTATTCACACTAGGCTCAAATATTTGTCTCTACATGGAAGCCAGACTCCCTTAGCTTGACACTCACACCTGCAGTCTTCATTTCTGTTAATGAAGACAGGTTTGTTGGAGTCAGAAAGAACCCAGCAGGCATGGTCCATGGTTCCTCCTTTTCCCTCCAAAGTGTTGGGAGATGGCACAGTGGGAAGCCCATGGGGCCAGAAGGCCTGCAGGAAGACAGCTGTCATGTGGCAGTGTGTAACTCAGGGGTAACGGAATCCTGATTTATAAAACATGGCAAACAATATGAAGTGCTAACAAATATAACATTAGTTCATTGTAAGGAGAAAAATTTTCACATATTACATATGCAAATGTCTGAATGAAAAGTGAATTCTAGAAACTGTGTAGAAATTATTGTACCATATACCTACCACAACCAGTACGGAGTCCTCTGTCTTTATCTAAGTGTCAGCAGTAGCCAGCTAAGGCCCTTAGCTCACTTAGCTCAGCTGAGACTGGCAGTTTCCCTCCTCCCGAATCTTTCCAAGACATTGACCTTTCCAAATTCAGATCCACATGTGCATATGAATCCTGTGAACCTCATCTAATGAGAAACAGCCATTAATAGTAGGACATTAGGAAAATCAAGCCTCAGGGGTTATTTTTAAGTCCAACCTTTGTAATCCACCTGGTAGTTCACAGCTGAACGTAAAGAATGCTGAGCTGTTGGTTTTAAAACAAAAGGCATTCTGTGGTTTCACAAATGAAAATGTTGTTCTTTATGGAACGCTTAAAGCCAGAGCTTTGCTGGTTATTCCAAACCCTTCTACTGCCAGTGTTTAATAGTCAGCCCTATTAATCTCAAGGCTATGGAGTTTGTTTTCACAGATACCAGGCCATATTTGTGCAAGTGTTCAGTGTGTGACTCATGACTGCTCCTGGGCTGCTGGATGACCTCCAGGTCTTCGCCAGAACGAGCCTTCTTAGACATTTGAATCAAATTAAGAGTTCCTCTGCTGAGACCAGGGTGGTGCAGTCTTTCCCTAATACAGTAATCCTCTCTGCTCTGAAACCCAAGCATGCAGAGTACCATGCAGGCTCCCCGTGGCTGAAGGCATCCTTAATGAAAGGGTAATAAATATTGTAGTTCAGAGTACAGTCCAAATAACCAATGTATATTTCTCTTAGGTGTGTTGAAAATTGAAATAGTTAGAAAAGCCAGAATTCCTTTTAAAGGAGGTAATTACATAGGGACAATTAGATTTTGGTTGTGACAACTTAAGAACACCAGTGATTGCATCCTGTTTCTCTGCAGTGTCCAAGTCTTAAATGTTCCTTGTCATCAGTAACTTGTAGAAGGGTCAAGAGGATCTCTTTAGAAAACCCTCGTTCTTTCCAAGACATGCTTTTTAAATAGTGGGGCTTTAGGCTATGTTACATTCCAACTTTAAATACTTCTTTCCCCCTCATATGAACTCCTTTCCTCCCATAGTAAATTTTGAGAACTTATTACATGGTCTGTTATGAAAATAAAAGATTTCCATTCCCATTTTGTTTTCGTTAGTCCCGCCATCCTATTTCCAACATCTGGACCACGTTGGCAGAAGACTGGACCACTACGAGAAGCCGGAGCTGTCTCTAGGATCTTACGAGTACGTTGCTACTTTGGATTACTGCAGAGTAAGTGTTCCCAGGACGCCAGTGCTTACATGTGATGTCAGATCCACATGAGTCACTTTCGTGCGTGAAGAATTGACAAAGCATGTGGGTGCTGTGGGGATGCAGAAGTGCCTGAGGAGCATACCAAGTTTCTAGGCTGGTAATGTGATAAAATGGCAAACCATGCACTGCAGTGGTCCTTTGTAAAAAATGGTGCCAGACACAGAAAACAGTGATTTCACTTTGTGTCCTTACCCTGTAGAACATGCTGGGTTCTTTTTTTTTTTTTTTTTTTTTAATTTTTTTTTTTTGATTTCAGAGAGAGGAA